CAATAAAAAGAACTACGCATCGCCTTTCGGCTCGGAAAGCGGCTGTTCTCGCGGATAAAGAGTTCAAGCGTGAGCGCAAGAGGAATCGGAAGGTGTACCCGCGGTATAAGCGGTTTTGTAAACTGTGCGGCGTTAGTGGAAATAGTGCGCAGGCCTTTTACGATCACACTCAATCTAGGGCTCATCGCATTCAGGTGGCCAACGCCAAAGAGATTCCGCGTTGTATTCCTTGCAATCGCGTCTTTGAGTCTCACGGGCACCTGAAGTGCCACGAGAACGGTGCCGCACACTTAAAGGTAGTTTGTGATCAGATTGGCAGTGATTTCTTTCTAATAAGTTCGCTTCTCTGTTCTCCAACTTTTCCTAGTGCAACTTCAGAGTAATCGTATCGAACTTCTTATAGGGGTGGGCTCGCCATTGTGTTGACTATTGGTTGACGGCTTGGGATCCCTGAACGGAATTTTCGAATACTTGAAGTCTTTTTGCACTAAAATGGAAGATCATGGACGAGGAGGATCCATCAGAATCGATAAACTGACGGATTCCAACTTCTACGTGTGGAAGCAGAAATACAACTTCTGCTTGCACTACGTGATGTTGATCAGTACATCATCGAAGGAAGGGTTCCGAGTGATGAACACCCTGACGAGCGGAGGAAGTGGGTCAGAGGTAACAGTAAAGCTAAAGCACTGATTGGCCTCTCGTTGTCAGATGAGCATCTCGAGCATGTACGTGATGCTGAAACTGCTTGTGAGATGTGGGAATCAATCCTCAATGTGTTTGAAAGGCATACTCTGCTCAACAAACTAGCTGCTCGTCGTGGGTTCTACACTGTTGAGATGGGTACGGGAGGAAAAGTTCTCGCATACATCAATCGTGTAAAGCAGCTGGCAGCTATTCTTAAGTCAATGAGTGTAAACATCGATGGTAAAGAGATGGAAATGGCTGTGCTCAATGGTTTGCCCACACGATTTGAGGCTCTTATTGTTGCGCTGGATGCTCTGGGTAATGAAGAAAGGATATTCAGTTTGGACTTTGTGAAAAGTCGTCTGTTGCAGGAAGAGCAACGAGCTAACATGAAGTCTAGTTCTTCACATACATCGGCGTTGATCAAAAGTACCCCGAACAATCGTGACACTAACGATTACAATTGTACGAACTGTGGTCATTCGGGCCATACAGCAGCTCGCTGTTGGGGCAAGGGTTTGAATGGGCGTCGCCCGGCTCCTCCTGTTGGATACAAGCCACGTATGGCTCAGCGGAAGCAGTCTGCAATGGTTACACAGAAAAGTGACAACGAAATGATTGTAAACAACGTCGATCTCAGGTGTCTGATGTCAAAAGTTCTGCAAGCCCAGGCACCCGGAATGCCGTCTTCATCGCTTGTTGACTCCCCTTGTACAGCCCACATCACATTTGACCGATCGTTGCTTTCGACGTTTGTGCCACTTGAGTCCGGGTCTGTTGAGATGGGAACCAAAGCCAGTGCAAAGGTTGCGAGCCGTGGTGATGTCCACTTAAATTTGAATGTGAATGGACGCACTGAACCATGCAAACTGACTGATGTGTTGCACGTTCCAGATTTTGCGTTCTCTCTGCTCTCTGTCAGTCGAATGACTGAACTTGGACTGAACGTGGGGTTCGGAAATGGAAAATGCGTCATGAGACGAGGTCAAACTGCAGTCGCAACTGCAACACTGGTAGGAGGACTTTACATTCTCGATATTGTCAGTGACATCGGATCTGCGCATGCTGCCACTTTGCAAACGTGGCATGAGCGATTCGCACATGTGCACTCCCAAGGAATTGCGTCGATGATTCGTGACAATGTGGTAAGTGGAGCCAAACTACTTGGTAATGAGGCCAACAGACTAAAAAGAACTAACAATGATTGCATCTCCGAAACATGTTCTGCGTGCGTCTACGGCAAAGCCACTCGATCTGTGATCCCAAAAGAGCGGTCCTCAAGGCGTGTATACTTCTGCCTCGACTTAATTCATTCCGATGTATGTGGCCCCTTGGAGATGCAATCCATTGGCGCTGCTAAGTACTTCATTACATTCATAGACGACCACTCCAACTGGTCAGTAGTGTACTCCATGCATCATAAATCGGAAGCCTTTGAACGATACAAAATGTTTGCCCAACTAGCTCAGACTCATACTGGTCGCAAGATCAAATTGTTTCGTACTGATCGAGGTGGTGAGTACTTGTCGACGGAGTATAAGTCATTTCTGATTGAAAATTGTACTCAATGTTGTAGTTCAACGACCACATGCTGACACGCATGACATACAATGACAGGTATGACACGTATAAGAGAGGAAACACTCAGTGTGACGACCTGAACATATTTGATTTTCAACGTATACACGTGCCATTTCTGTACACGGTTGCACTCTTCAGTACAGTCGGAGCAAGTTTGGCTTTCAACGTGTACGTGTGAAATCTGTACACGGTTGCACTTTACAGTACAATCTGAGCATGTTTCATTTTCTCCGCCTGACACGTGTATGACCTGGACACATGGCCTCATTACACTGTCGGACGTGTATAGTACGCCTGCAGTCTTGCTGACAAAGTGCAGAACCTTGGTGGCAGGTGCCTGGCACGTGCTAAAGGTTAACAGCGTCCGTGGAGTGCAGCACGGGTACAGCAGGACACTAAGATACCGTTGCCCGAATTTTGAATTCGTAAGGCAAAACGTGCACTGTTGTAATTGACAGTGGACAGGACCTCACGAGAGATTCAGATTCGTAAGGCAACGTGTGCGCTGTAAACAGTCCTTGCAGGATTGGTTCGAATTCGTAAGGCAACGAGTGAGCTGTAAACATGCCTTACGAATTTGTGCCACGCTGGATTTGGAATAGTAAGGGAATTTGTGCTTTGCTGTGCTTTGTTTTACTGCCTTACTAATTTCTCCGTCATGACAGTGCCAATTCGTAAGGCAGTTTTCTGTTCTGTTTGTTGGGCCATCGCCAGTTTGGCTGAGTAGCAAGACGGGCGCATGTGTTAGAGCCAATACATTTGTAGTATGTGTGTCGTAGTGTTTGGTAGTAGAGTTCTAGAAGATTGCAGAAGTGTATAAGTAGCGCCAGAAGTTGGTGACTCGAAGTAAATCGGTACCCAATCCTTCAACTTCACCTCATCAACCGTCCTCCGATTTCCCTTTGCCCCGCTGACCTTCCAATAGGTTATGGGCCCAGTTCAACGTTATTGTTCCGCTGTGTGAGTGTTTGTTCTCAGTTTCTGCTGCCGTTTTCGTGTTTGTTCCGGCTGTCGTTCTCGTTTTGGTATCCGCTGTCGTTCTCGTTTTGGTTTCTGCTGTCGTTTCCGCCGCCGTTTTCATCGCCGCCGTCGTTCGTTTTGTTCTACCGCCGTCTACCTGCTGTCGTTATCATCTTGGTCGTTCGTCTCCGTGTACCTGCTGTCGTTTCAACTTGATGGATCTTCTTCGTGTCGGTTGCAGCTTGGTCTTGGCAATCGTGGTGTGAGCTGTGGGAAAAGTCCCTAGTGGCCTACGTACCATATCAATCCAAGAAGACTGCCCTTCGATCACGCCGGTGATCGTCGTAGCTGCCGATACCCTCGCTCTTGGTGAAAGGCTTGTGCCATTAGAAATCTGACTTGAGCGAGGGTCCGACCAAGAATCGTCGAGAGACGAAACACTGATCCTCGGGGAGGATTACAGTGTACTGGTCTAGTCGATCCGCACTCTGCCTTCGGGAGGTGCGTCGGCGGTGTGGGTAACGCTTTCGGTATTAGCCCTATAGGTACGACTTCGGTCCCCTGGGTGAAGAGAATACGTGCCTAAACACTGAACCTCTCACTATACGTGTATAAGGTTGCGTACCTTGATTAAGTTCGCACGGAAGAGGGTGACCCTAGGCGTGATTGTGAACAAATCACACGAATACGACGAAGGCAGTTTCATTCTTGTGTTGTGGGAAACCTCATTGGGGTAGTACCGTATCAAGTTTGGACAAGCCGATTTCGGTTGCAGGGACCGTTCGCGGTAATGACCAAAAGTCCTGGTTCGTCTACAGGCAAAGTTGCTGTGCTTACTCGTGGCACGTTTGATTTAGTTCACAGTCGAAAGACCCGCACTGGCCGACATACAGGTGTAGCGCCCTCAGGCATTTTAAGAAGAGTACGCTTGTTCCACTCCGCCGGGAACAAGCACCATGAGCGTTTCTGAGTAATCGCTACAAACTTCCTATACGGGTGGTGTAGTGCAATGTACCTGGCAGGCCGCGAACACAGTCCGACGGTCAAACAAAAAGAAGAAAAACAGCAACAGAAACAACCACCGCCGATGGCACGCGCTACGGAGCGTTCGAGACTTCCTTTCCCCTTGTGTGGGCTTGCGGCCCACAGTAGCTCAACTCCGACGAGGGGGTAAGGAAAGATGCCCGGCCCGGGAGGATAATGGTGGTAGAGATTTGTGAAAACTTGAGTGCTCGGCGAGTGCGGGTTGGGCTTTTCTACGAGAATATAACCGCGGTTCGCTGGGTTGGAAGGCCAATGCTCGACGAGCGTCTTTAGCACCTTGCGTATAATTCAAGGTCTTCGACGGGGGCTTGTTCAACACTACCCGACGGGATGGTGACCGTGTAGCAACGCTCCTACTGACGTGTTGCCCGATGGCTAAGAACACCCTCACCAGCGCGATCGCGATCGCGGTTGGTGGTACCAACTCTGTCTTATACAGTAAGACCTTCGACGGAGGCGTCGTTACAACGGCCTTCCTACGGAACTTGAAACAGTAGCAGCGCTACACACCGTGTTGCCCGATGGCTAAAACACCTACATCGGATCGGTCGCAACCAATGCCGATGGCACCAACAGATAGAAAAAGATAGAGAATAGGGATAGAAATAGGAATGGTAAAGGATAAGGAAAAGGAATGGGACCCCGAGCAATAGAGGATGTCGTTAGCAGCGTAGAAGTGAAGCGCGTCGCGTGAACGGAAGCGGTCTTCGACGAAGGCGAGATCTAACTCCGGCAACTCGGGTTACCTTTACTGACTTGGTGGTCAGCGGGCTAAGGTATATATCGCCCAGCCGGAGCCACTACAGTAGCTCGCGGCGCTAGATCCTATATCTAATCTAATGTCAGCAAAATTAATACTGACTAATTACCTAAATAAAATTACTAATTAAAATAAAAACTGTGCAAATATTCACACGTGTGTCCCCCAATCCCGGACTACAGTACTCACATTCCAACTTAGTTTCTTTTCCCCTCATTCCCTTGTGCAACCCCTTATTGCACTACATATCCCCCTTCTGAGCGTCCTTGCACATCTGCTTCGCTCCTTGATCTCCGGCTGCATTTTCCATCTCGACCCTTTCCCCAGACCGGCAGTCACCATGGGCAAGGACAAGACGAACCCCACACCTCCTGTGTCGCCGAGACGCGCGGGCGAGAATGTTATCCGCAAGCGCCTTGGAGTTGGCCATCTTTCCTAACCTCGAGCTTTCCGTGGTCTCCCTTCCGTTCACCGACTTCCTCCTGACGATCCTCCTTCACGACCGATTGTCCAACCCACTCCCCAAATTACTCCTTCTCCTCGTCGCTACGCCTCCCTCGCAAAACTACATTTCCATGCGTGAGCATCCCCTCTTGTTCGCGGCTGCTCCCTGGTTCTGCGATCATGGCGTTCGCGACACCATGAATATCAAAAATAAATCTGCCGACGGCGCTGGTATATTACCCGGTCACCTCCCCCTCGTGGCCATCCATTCCTACGATTGGCGAGCGCGCATCGCGGTTCCTCCTTCTATTCTGCCCGGCTCCTCTCCTTACGGCCTTCATTCACTCTCCGCGCGGTTTATGTCCGCTGTCTGCGATCGCCTCGAATTACCACTGACCGACGGTCTCATACCTGCCATTTATTTTTGGGACACCTGGCAGTACCGTACGGAAGGAGAGCGATCTTACTTAGACAGCATGATCAACTGGACCGCCGGGGATCCCATAGGGAGGCAAAGTGCGAGAGGTCTGCCTCGGGTGCGGCAGGGACAAGAAGCCCGCCGAACGCGTGAAGGGAGGCGGCGACAAGCAGATGGATGTGGAGGCAGACAGGGCGCACGACGAGCAAAAAAGCAAGACGCGGGACGGAGGAGGGAGAGATGGAGGACGAGACTCGGGCCGACGAAGGACGCACGAGTTGCCCTACACCCGTGGTTGCGGACGTCCCCGCTTAAGGGGGGGGGGCCGTGTAGTATATCCCCCCCTGGGGCTTTTTAGTAGATTAGATCAACAACGGGATCCAATACTGTAGAGCCTCCGGCTCTACAGTACTACCGCGCGTGGCCACGTGTACTTTTGGAAGGTCAGCGGGGCAAAGGGAAATCGAAGGACGGTTGATGAGGTGAAGTTGAAGGATTGGGTACCGATTTACTTTGAGTCGCCAACTTCTGGCACTACTTATACACTTCTGCAATCTTCTAGAACTCTACTACCAAACACTACGACACACATACTACAAATGTATTGGCTCTAACACATGTGCCCGTCTTGCTACTCAGCCAAACTGGCGATGGCCCAACAAACAGAACAGAAAACCGCCTTACGAATTACCACTGTCATGACGGAGAAATTAGTAAGGCAGTACAACAAAGCACAGCAAAGCACAAATTCCCTTACTATTCCAAATCCAGCGTGGCACAAATTCGTAAGGCATGTTTACAGCTCACACGTTGCCTTACGAATTCAAATCAATCCTGCAAGGACTGTTTACAGCGCACACGTTGCCTTATGAATCTGAATCTCTCGTGAGGTCCTGTCCACTGTCAATTACAACAGTGCACATTTTGCATTACGAATTCAAAACTCGCGCAACGGTATCTTTGTGTCCTGCTGTACCCGTGCTGCACTCCATGGACGCTGTAAACCTTTGGCACGTGCCAGGCACCCGTCACCAAGGTTCTACACTTTGTCTGTAAGACTGCAGGCGTACTGTACGCGTCCGACAGTGTAATGAGCACATGTGTCCAGGTTATACACGTGTCGGGCGGAGAAAATGAAACATGCTCAGATTGTACTGTACAGTGCAACCGTGTACATATTTCACACGTGTACACGTTGAAAACCAAACGTGCTCCTGAAGTACTGTAGAGTGCAACCGTGTACAGAAAGCACACGTGTACACGTTGAAAATCCAACTTTCTCAGCTCGTCACGCCGAGTGTTTTCGATTTTACACGTGTCAAACCTGTCGTTGTGTGTCATGCATATCAGCATGTGGTCGTAGAATTACAACACTCCCCCTCGATCACATGCTTTTACCAGAACTAGCTACTGCAAGCCCTAGAAGTTCTACAAACTTCTGGAACAGAACTCGCCCAAGTGCTTTCGTCAGGATATCTGCAGGCATGGAAGTGGTCGGGCAATGTGACAAAGAAATGACGTTTCTCTTAATTGCATCTCGTACATAGTGGTATTTCACATCAACATGTTTGTTACGACGGTTGACCGATTCATTCTGTGCATACGAAATAGTCCCTGCATTGTCACACCCCATCACAATCGTGGGATCAGAATCAAGTCCAAGAACATCAGCAAGCACTTGACGCAACCAAGTCGCCTCCTTACACGCTTCACATAGTGCAATGTACTCAGCTTCACACGTCGAAGTTGCAACCACAGTCTGTTTCCGGGAACTCCAACTGATCGCTCCACCGCAGAACTTGAAAACATATCCGCTGGTCGACTTGCGAGAGTCTGAACAACCGGCCCAGTCAGCATCACTGAAGCCGAACAACTCCGGCGATTTAGATTTATTGTCAAACACGATTCCTAAGTTTCGAGTCCCTTGCACGTATCGCATTACCCGTTTCACACCTACCCAGTGTGACTCACATGGGTTGGCAGAATGTTGAGAAAGCTTTCCAATCGCATATGCCAAGTCTGGACGAGTGCCAACCATCAAGTACATCAGGGATCCCACTGCCTCACGATACGGTACATTTGTTTCGGAGTCGTTTTCGGTTGAAATCGTGGTTGTGTGACCTTGTTCCATTGGAGTCAGAGAGGGGTTACACGTTGACATTCGAAAACGCTCAAGCACTTTTGATGCATACTTAGTTTGAGTGAGACTCAACGTCTTGGCGCTGCGATCCCTTTCGATTTCAAGACCAATGCAGACTTTTGCTTCACCAAGGTCTTTCATCTCAAACCGTTTATTAAGCTCCCCCTTCATCCATTTGATGGCATCGATATCACTACCGGCGAGTAACAAGTCATCGACATAAAGTGAAATCAGCATGATAGTGTTACCGATGCGTTTAATGTAGAGACAAGGATCACTACGCGATGTCTCGAATCCCAATTCACCAATTAAGAAATCATCCACTTTGGCATGCCATTGACGATGTGCTTGTTTAAGACCGTAAAGTGCTTTCAAAAGTTTGCACACGTGATCACTTTTGCTTTTGTCAATGCACCCTTCGGGTTGCTCCATGTAGATGTCTTCATCCAAGTCGCCGTTCAAAAACGCAGTCACGACATCCATCTGATGAAGTTCGAGGTCGTAATGAGCAACTAAGGCAAGAAGTAGACGAATAGTGGTAAACTTTATGACAGGGGCATATGTCTCAGTATAGTCAAGACCTTGCACTTGCTGGAATCCACGAGCAACAAGTCTGGCTTTTGCACTTTCAACTATATTGCCATTTGCATCAGGCAGCTGCTTGACATTGAAAACCCATCGGGATGTCAAGATGTTTGACGCCTCAGATCGAGGAACAAGTTTCCAAGTCCGATTCTTGGTCTGCGAGGCAAGTTCTTTGTCAATGCCGGTCTGCCAAAATGCAGCTCTAGGACCGTTGGTTGCCTGGTTGAAAGTCTTGGGACCTTCAATAGCGACATGCGCATGTGAAAGAAGAGCAGCTGCAAAGTTGCTCCTCCACCATGATCCGGGAGGTCTACTGACTCGAGACGATCTTCGCACAGCTGGAGTCGGAGTTGGAGGAGTGACATTCGGAGTTTCGACGGCAGTTGGTACATCATCTTCATCTTCATCATTCTCACTTACAGAATGAGCACCATCGTTTTCAAGAACCTCCTCCGAAACGTCATCCTCTTCAGAACCGACCTCATCCGTATTTGGGGTATCAGCTGTATTCCCATTGTCGCCATCGAGCAGTACAACGTCAACATCAGAGTTGATTGAATCACTTTCGTGTGGAGGATTGTCATGCATACCACATGTCGATTCATCAAACTTGACATCCCGTGACACAACAATTTTATTCAACTCTCCGTCCCAAAGTTTGTATGCCTTACTGCATTGCGAGTACCCAAGAAACATTGCTTCACGCGCTCGCAAGTCCAGCTTACGGAGCTCTAATTTTGGTAATGTATACCAACACTTTGACCCAAATACTCGCAAATGGCCAACATTTGGAGTGGAATTCATCCAAATGTGGTGCGGAGTTGTATTAACGGGCAAAGCGCGTGAAGTAACTCGATTACGTACATATACCGAAGTGGCAAGAGCCTCGGCCCAGAATCGCTTACTGACCTGTTTATGAGAAAGCATTGAGCGGACAAGATCAATCAAAGTTCGATTTAAACGTTCAGCAACACCGTTTTGTTCAGGGGTGTACGCCGTTGTGAGTTGGTGCTGCGTACCGTTTAAATCTAAATGCGACTTGAATTCCGTCGACAAGTACTCTCCCCCTCGATCAGTGCGAAGCACCTTTACTTTGCGACCAGTGTGCGTTTGGGCCAACTTTTCATACAACTTGTATTTTGCAAACGCCTCATATTTATTTCTCATCATGTACACAACTACCCAGTTCGAGTGATCATCTACAAATGTAATGAAGTATCTCGAACCACCAATGGACTGTACTTCGAGCGGGCCGCAAACGTCAGAATGTACCAAGTCAAGACAGTTCTGTGCTCGAGACGATGATCGCTGTTTTGGGATTACTGATCGCGTTGCTTTGCCAAACACACACGCAGGACAAATGGGAGAGTGATTGTCAGACTTCGGATTCATTGCACTGATCACATCGCTTTGACGAACGTTGATGCCACTTACCACATTATTGTGAATCATTGATGCGATTCCTTGTACATTAACATGGGCCATGCGTTCATGGAGCGTCTGCAGGGTAACTACGTGAGCAGAGAAAGTTTCATTCATGACGTCAAGTATGTACAAATCCCCAACTTGACTCGCTGTGGCAACTACAGTTGGTCCTGCAGTAACGCGGCATTTCTCATTTTCAAATGAC